TTTTTTTTTTTTTCCCCTTTTTGTCTTTTTTTCGTGACCGGTAATGGGATCGCAACCCTCGGTGTCGCGCCCACACTGCGCTCAACCAGTGAGCAGACCGGTCTCTATATGGGATCCGAACCCTTGGCGGGAGCGCCGCCACACTCTACTGAGTGTGCCACTGGGCCGGCCCATATATATATTTGTTTTCATTCAGCATTAGGTCATCAGCATGTTACACATCAGTCAAAATTCTTCAGGAGCCTCTTATCGTCACACGTTACACTGCCCTGTGAGTGTGTGGCATCTGTTTAACCACCTCCCGCATTGCTGGATGTTTGGTGGGCATGTATAATGTTTAAATTTGTTCTCTCTATCAAATAATGCTTGGATGATCCTTTGCATTTGCAAAACCTTTGTGCACGTCTCTGATTAGCTTAAAATGGATTTCTACAAGTTGGATGACCGGACAAATTTAACATTTTTTAAGGTTCTCAAACTGTTGTCTGTACTCAGAGGTCACAGTGTGGAATTCCCCAAGTGATTGTAAATGAGGAAAGTAACATTGAGCCCCAGGAGTTCAACTGCACTGTCCACACCAATCAGAAGGAAGCCCACTGCGGCAGGCTGCGTGGATCATGGGACCCAGCATGGTACAACCGGACTGATGCTCTAACGTCTCAACTAAAGACGACCACAGTGCCCATCAGGAGAAGCACCCTGGCAACACTGGTAAGAGGACGCTGCTGCTGCCAACACCGGCCGTGCCCATCCCCACCCATCAGGAGAAGCACCCTGGCAACACTGGTAAGAGGACGCTGCTGCTGCCAACACCGGCCATGCCCATCCCCACCCTATCCAGGGGAAAAGGCACTTTAGCCATGGCCGTGGGGAGTTTTTTGATCCCATTGACAAGGCCATTCCCAGGAACTTGGAGGATTTCCATCCCATGGGAAGACCGCTGCTCTTATGAGATGGATGCTCCAGGCTGCCTGAGGCTGTGGTCAGCAGCATACCGGCCCCCAGGGATGTCCAGGCCCTAAGCCCTGTGACTATGTTACCTTCCATAGCAAAAGAGACTTTGCAGGTGTGGTTAGGGTGAGAGGAGACTGTCCTGGATTATCCATGAGGGCTCAGTGTCACCACGACAGCCCTTAAAAGTGGAAGAGGAAGGCAGAAGAATAGGCCGAGAGTAGCCCAGAGAGGTGTGGCAATGGCAGAAGAAGGGAGAGGGAGTCTAGGCATGAGAGGGACTCCACCGGCCCTTAAAGGCCATGAGCCGAGGATTGCAGGTGGCCTCCAGGAGCTGGGAATGGCCCTCAGGTGACAGCTGGTGAGGATACGGGGACCCATACCCCAGTTCCACAACTGCAACTAAATCCTGCCGACCACCCAAATGAGCAAGAAAACAGACTCCCCCCTAGGGAGTTAATAAATATTTGTTAAATTCTTCTGCTCAGTGAGGAGGACAAGGTCAGACAGATTGGCAAAGCTGGCATGGCCCATTGGGCAGGGGATGGTCAGTGAGGCCATTGGGCAGGGGATGGTTGGTGAGCCCATTGGGCAGGGGATGGTCGGTGAGGCCACTGGGCAGGGATGGTCGGCGAGGCCACTTCCCCCACCTCCAAAGTCTCCTCTTTCTCAGAAACTTCGTGCTGGTTCAGAATCCATTACGTAGGAACCAACAGCTTCTTGACCAGAAACTTGACTGTGACCCACCAAGTCCTCAGGCTGGGAGCCTTCAGGCACGTCTTACATTTCGGAGTCCTACATGGGCCTCCCTGCTTTGCCCCCCAGAGGCTGGGGACGAGAACCAGACAGGCCCTTCACAAGCCACTGCTTAATAGTGCCCATCCTAAAATCAATGTTGGATGCTTCCAGGATGATTTGCTCACTCTTTTTATGATGTGAGTTATATGTGCACAAAGTTTAAAAAAAAAAAACTATGCAGAAGTTTACAGAACAAAAAGCTAGACTTTCTTGCCCTACCCCTGTCGCAACCCTTCACTCCTCTTCTCCCCAGAGATAACCATCTTGAACCATTTTTAAGTTTTAATTTGCTGCAGGTCACTCTGTGTGTTAACACAGAGCTTACGCAGGGTCCTTCTCAAGTCTTCACTTGCAATAATTTAGTCCCACGAACCAACTCTGCCTCCGGCCTCCAGGCTTCCGACGAGTCATTTAACTTGTCAGGAACCCACCCATTGCAGGAGGCACGAGACAGAGAGAGACAACCAAAGTGGGCCGTGTTTGTTCTCAGCCAGCAGCTCCAGGCACAGAGAAGGCTGCCCCAAAGCCTCAGTTTCCCCACAACACAGATGTTTGGGCTTGACTTCGAAGCTGCCCACAGCTAGTTTCTTCTAAAGGGGCTAAGGGTGGCAGGTGCAGCTCTGCTCAGGTACAGGCAGGCTGCGAAGTGCAGGTGGAGCTGAACCAAGTTTCATCTTTACCTCAATGGTCTGGACACGGTGGAAGAAGGAATTCATTCTGGAAAATGCAAGAGATGACGGGAATTCCCAAGGCACAGGCTCTTTGTCCTGGAGACAGAGAGAGAGGGAAGGCCGTGTTGGCTTCAAACATTCCCACTTACCCAAAGGCTGGAGACCGTATAAAGCCGGCCTTGTCTTCACCTCGGTTCCTGCTCTGGGAATCAGGGGTACCTTAAAGAAAAGCTTCATGTTCGCGCAGCAGAAATCGTACGTGCGTACCCAAAGGCTGGAGACCGTATAAAGCCGGCCTTGTCTTCACCTCGGTTCCTGCTCTGGGAGTCAGGGGTACCTTAAAGAAAAGCTTCATGTTCGCGCAGCAGAAATCGTACGTGCAGTAGAGCTCCTTGAGCACGTTCACGGACAGGGTGATGCTGTTCAGGACCTCCTCTACTTCCCCTTGCAAGCCTTTCAGCACATCATCTGGGCTCAGGAAGGTTCGTATCTGGGCAAAAGAGAACACAGACGTCCCAAAGCCCCGTCAAGCCATTTAGGGTAATGACTGGGCACACCATCTGCAGGCCGATTGGCCAATTAGCAGCACTCCACACGGGTACCATGGGGCTCCCAATCGGCTTCTTCTGACACGTGACTGTCCCTTGGGTGCGTGGCCCTACGTGCCTGCCAGCTGCGGGGCTGTTGGGGGGTGGTGCAGGCTGAGCTCCTTCCCTTTCTTGGCCCCTCATCCTGTGCCAAGGATGCAGCAAAAACAAATTTTGGCCACAGATGATGAGTGGCCCTCCAAGGTCGGGGGATTCACAGGTGCCCTCTGTCCTGCAGACAGGGCTGCAAATACGATTTCAATATATGCAGGTGGCCTAGGGTTGCAACCTTTCAACTCAGATGCTCGTGGCTGGCTAATGGGTGCTTGTGAAAGGAAGAAAGAGAGAGTCTGTGTTGAGGGAGATGGGAGTGCAGGACCAGACAGACCCCTCAAAGCCCCTGAATCTTGGGGTGCTGGGAGCCTCGAGGTAGAGTCTCCTGCTCTGTCTTCCACTTCCTTTTCTCCTCTCAAGTCCTGGGGAGAAGTCTAGGTAGCCACCAGGAGGGCTCAAGCTCAGCTTGTGGCCTGCAAACACCCGTCCCAACATCTTGGCTTGTTTTTAAACTCCTGGGGAATGCGGGAAGCAGGGGAACAGAGCAGAACTGGGGAGAGGAAGGCGCCCGCGGGCCGGGTGAGGGTTACCATCTCGATGACTTGGTTGCAGAACTCCTGCAGAATGACAATGATCCTGGAGGGCGTGTTGTAGTGCTCGGAGGTGGCCCAGATGAAGCAGATAGTGTCCAGCACCTTGGCAATGAAGGTCGGGAGCTGGGGAGAGACGGACCCAGGCGTGCTACAGAGGACCAGCTTCCGGACCTTGTCACAGCATCTCAGCCCTCCCTTGCCCAAGGCTCATGCTGGGCCTCCAGGAGAGGGTCCCCAAGAGGATGGAAGAGGCGACTCCCCAGGCCCATGCACCTGGTTACAGCCCCCTGCACCCGCAGACAAGAGGCCCCCCAAAGTGAGCGTTTCTTGCCAGCATACCGATGTGAAGTCGACCTGCTCCATCTCCTCCAAGAGGATGCGCAGGGGCTTCAGGTACAGGACAATGTCGCTGGCTTCCTTCAGCCCTGCACGGAGCAAGAACAGGTGCTCAGCAGCGAGTGAGAGGACACCGGTCAGAGACGACAAACTGGCAGCTCTGGGTGTCTCTTGACACCTGCTCCTTCAAGAACCAGGGTCTTTCTCAAAAGGAGGGGGCTGGGGAAGCTGCTTATGGGGGAGGCGCAGGCCACACCCCACAGGGTTGGTGACGGGCACAGCCTTCCAAGAAGGCTTGGGCAGCTTCATCAAAGACCTCATGGGCAGGGTCATGGGCTCACCTTCAGTGACATTCATATAGACATTTTGCAAGGCTGGCCAGTAGCAGCTTTTGGCTTTTTCCAGGATCTCCACTATTTTATTCACTTTGGGTCTGTTTAGCTGAGAAGGAGAGAAGAAGAATATCAGCCTTCCGATGGAGCCCACAGACCCTAAGACGAGGGTGACCTGGCCCTGTGGCTGGCTAGAGCAGGTCATCGGGCCCCTCAGCGTCCCTGTGGGGTCCGCACCGAGAGGCCGAGCCCTCGCCTGCCGCCCGCTGGGATGTGGCTGCTGACCCTGCTCTCGGCCCTACCTGCTCATGGATGCACTTGAGGTTCATCAGCCGCGCGTCCCAGAACTCAAACTCGACCCGGGGTAGGGGGTGCAGCCCGTCCAGCAGGGCCTGGGCCGAGTCTTTGCTCAGCACGTCCCGGATTTGGTGAGACCAGTTGATGATGATGGTTTCGATGGCGTGCAGGAGCGAGTTGTCCAGGGAAGACGGGATCCTGCCCGGCAGAGGTTGGGGCAGATGCTCTCATGGCCACATGAACCTGGGTCCACCGAGCTCCGCCCCTCCCCCAGCAGCCTTCAGCCGGCAGACCCTAAACCACCAGCAACAGCCCCAGGTCTGGCCTCGGGCCTCTGGTACCTCCCAGCCCCTAAGAGAGGCTGAAGTTTCTCAAGCCCCCCAGCTAGGAAGAGACCCTGAGCAGACAATGGATGTTGTCAGAGGTTCCAGGGCCCGAGCTCTCGTCTGAGAAAGGGTGGGGGGGCAAGGACTGTGGAATGAACCCTATTCGGGACGGCTCCTCCAGGGGATTCTTACAGGGTGTTTACAGGGCACGTTTTGGGAGCCTAGTGGACGAATGGAGGACTTGCCCTAGAGCCCCTAGGAGCGGTCTCCTATGAGTGTGTGGTACAAGCTATCACACCCATAACCGCTCCCAGAGTCTCACGTGCCAGTTGCAAACGGTGGCTGGGGAGACGCCAGGGGAAACCTTAGAGTCCCTTGTCCATCCCAGGGCATCTGGAACACCACCACCTTTCCGTGGGCTCCCATCCACCTGCCGATCCCTTCCACTCCCTCTCAGTGCCCACATCTAAAGCTGAGCAGTCTGTCTCCTGGCTATGTTGACACGTGTCATGTCTTTCCTGTACTGGACCGGTACACATGCATGATCCGGAGAGGACTGGGGCACAGGCCGGTTGTTTCTGGGCATTGATGCTGCTCAGCCGTCACCGGAGATGGAACCCTAGGGCCCCAGGGCCCCTCCCTTCTTGCCCTGGCACGTGTCCCTCAGCCTCAGCACCACCTAATGGCACCATGTAAGGGCACCCCCTTGCCCTCGTGTGTGTTTCATTCACTTCAAAATGCAAAACCAGTTGGCAGTGAGAGTCTGCCACTCTCGGTCAGGGCTCAGACACTCCCTGGGCATCTGGTGACGCGAGGCGTGGGGCCCTACCTCTCCATGGACTCCAGCGTGCCATCCAGGCTGCCCAGGTGCTCCGGGACGGGCAGCAGCGTTTTCCCTTTGATCTTGCCCCCCATCACGAACATCTCGTTCTTCAGCCTGTGCACTTGTTTCACGATGTCTTCCGAGACCACCCGGGGCCATCCGTCCATGTTCTCACTTTGGTTTAACAGAGAGTAGAGGACCTGAAAGGAGATGCTTCTGTAGTTCTGCCTGAGCCTCCGCCAGCTCAGCCACCCTCCGGGGCCATCCGTCCATGTTCTCACTTTGGTTTAACAGAGAGTAGAGGACCTGAAAGGAGACGCTTCTGTAGTTCTGCCTGAGCCTCCGCCAGCTCAGCCACCCCGAGATCCAAGCCCCCAGGAGGATTCAGAAGACCTCGGTGCTCGGAACCTGGGAAGGCCAAGTCCTCCTTCCAGAAAGAAGAGGGAAGTTGGGGAGTTTAGAGCAAGGGGGACAGCCCGGCTCCCGTTCTTTGTAGGGGCGAAGCCATCTCCAGGAAGGGGGACCCCAACTTCTGCAACAATAGACACACTCCCTGTGAAAGCAAGTGTTACGTGCTGTGATGGGCTGAGTGTGTCCCCCAAATCCATGTGCTGAAGTCCTTACTCCCAGCACCTCAGAACGTGACTGTATTTGGAAGTGGAGTATTTAAAGAGATAATTAAGTTAAAATGAGGTCATTAGGGTGGACCCAAATCCAATGAGACTGGTGTCCTTATAAGAAGAGAAAATTAGGACACAGACACACACAGAGGGACAACCACATGAAGACACAGGGAGAAGACAGTCACCCGCAGCCAAGGAGAGGGGCCTCGGAAGGAACCAACCCTGCCCACACCTTCATCTAGGACTTTTGGCCACCAGAGCTGTGAGAAAATAAATGTCTGCTGCACAAGGCGGGGACATGGGTCCCCATTCTACAGGTGAGGACCAGGAAGGCTAAGGTAAGGAACTTGAACTCTAACCAGTCTGACTCCCCAAAGCGTTCCCCACCCCTGCCACACCTCCTGAGAGTGTCACTGGGGAGGATGCAGGACTGCGGAGAGATGCAGAAAACGGCACCCCATTTTCTCTCTTTTTTTTTTAACTCAAAGTCTCAGAATTGGGGAAACTTTCTACTAGTACTGGGGTAGCCCACACTTTCTGAGCCCCTCACAGTACGGCGGTTCTAATGACGCCAAGAGAGGACAGGGTGATGGACGGGGCTTCTCACAGGTCAGGTGCACAGCATCACCTGGAGGTCGTCTCAGCAGGCCCAGGGCGGGGGGCCCGAGCTCCTGCGTTTCCAACCAGTCCCAGGTGCTGCTGCTGCTGGAGCGCACCCGGCCTGGATCCACGCACCTCCTCCACGACCGCAATCAGCTGGTCCACCGGTGTGGGGCTTATGTCCCCGTAGAGGAGGCGGGTCTTGTAGTTGTCCTTGTTAATGGCCTCAGGCTTCGTCTTGATAAAGTAAACCCCTTTGGATTTGAGGGATTCCGGGAAGCCCAGGCAGGGTATGATCATGCCGGCAGGGTTGAGCGTCAGCACCAGAACTGAGACCTCCGGCTTTTCCCAGAACTCTGAGATTAAGGCCATGTTCTCCTCAGCTCCGATGAGTTTGCTCCACTTGTCTGGCTTGAACTTCAGGATGATGGAGGCGACTTCCTCCAAATACTCTAGTCTGATGTCCGGTGTAATCGTCATCTTGACCTTTTCTCACACCACAGACATCTGTTAGGTGAACAGACACAAGACAGAACTGTCTCCTGGCTCCTCAATTTCCCACCCGCCGCTGGAACTGGGTGGCATCTCTGCTCTAACGAAGCACCAAAAAAAAGGGTTCTCCGGGAATGTGTTGTTTTTAGCTGTGGATAGGCTGGGGCGGGGGAGCGACGTGGAGGTGTGTTTGCGAATGTTGCTGAATTAATCTCCACCTGGGTTCTCCAAAACAGGCACTGTGTCCCCATTTCATAAGTGGGGGAAGGAAACGTGGGGGAAGCCCTGGGTGTTTGCAGGTCACTCACTGTAAGTCTCAGCAAGTTGCAAGTGCTACTGGAATTGAAGGAAACAGCCTCTGGTTTACTGATTTTGTGGATTTGGGTTGGGGCTTTTACAAAATCAGCTTTCCTTTCAAGAATGGCATTGGGGTGTGCTCCCTCTCAGGCCATGCTGTATATGGTTCCTGAGGCCCCCATGTCCCCCAAGTCTCTCTCCAATCAACTGGTCTTATCTCAAACTCCCACCAGGAGGTCCCAGAGAGCAAACAGCCCAGGCCAGTGGGCCAAGGCAGGGCTTGCTCATGAGCAGGACTGGAGCAAGGACTCCAGGGAGCCCAGGAAAGGGGCCGGGCGGTCCTGGGCAGACTGCACAATGGGCCCACACGCCTGACCGGCTCCAAGCAGGGAGCACAGCCCCTTCCGTGGTGAGTGGTGGGTCTGCTGTCCTCCGGAGTCCCCCCTCATCCTAACACAGGTAAAGGCTGCTCACCAGAGTAAGGCAACTGTCAGCTCCAACCGCAAGCAGGACGAACTGATAGGCAATGCCAAACGAGGAAAGAAAATGGCTCCCTTCCCTTGAAGGGCTCCAACTGCCACAGTTGGGGCTTCTAGAACTTTCTCCTTGGGGCAAATAAGTAACTGACCCACCATCCACCACAGGGGGAAGGCTCTTAAACTGCAATTTTTTAAACCCAGTTGAACACTCTTTGCCTTTTCATTGGAGCATTTAGTCCGTTTTCATTATATGAATTACTAATATATTGGGATGAAATTTATTGTCTTTTCAGTACTTCCTGTTTATCTTGGCTCTTCTGCGTTCCCTTTCCTTTCTTGCCTTCTTCTGGGTTAAATAAACTTTATTGTTTCGTACCTCCAAGCTATAGTTAGCTCGGTCATTGTGCACGCTTGTTTCTCTCTGAGAGGTACACAGGTCACTGCCCTATCGCAGTGGACATTTGCTGCTTCCCCTCTTACTGGACAAGACAACAGCAGTCAAACACTTTGACCCATTTGCTTCTCTCCTAACTTACGTTCCAACGCTGTCATGAATTTTAGTTCTAAAACGTTATTGTTATTAACAATGTGATGAAGTAGTTGGAAGTTACTTCAATATCCACCCCCCATATTCACCATTTTCTGTTTCTTCCTGTATCTCTGACCTGTCCCCGGGACCAATTGCTTTCTGCCTCTCACAGCATTTCTCTCTCTTTTGGAAGCCTGCAGAGGAAGGGAAGATGCACTTCATTCCTGAAGCGGATTCCCAAGTCAGCTTTCCTCCTGAGACCAGAAAAAAGATAAGGATGTCTACTCCCACCACCTCTATTCTTCATCAGTGGTGCCAAGACAAATCAATGGGGAAAGGATAGTCTTTTGAACAAATGGTTCTGGAACAAACTGAGTATCCACAAGCAGAGGAATGAAGTTGGACCCTTACCTCGCACTGGAGATTTTTGCCACAGAAATTAAGCAAGAAACAGGAAATAACAGGCATTCAAATTGGAAAGGAAAAGGTAAAACTATCTTTGGTCACAATGACATGATCTTATGGGAAGGCACTTCAAAAAGTCAGCAGAGGAATGAAGTTGGACCCTTACCTCGCACTGGAGATTTTTGCCACAGAAATTAAGCAGGAAACAGGAAATAACAGGCATTCAAATTGGAAAGGAAAAGGTAAAACTATCTTTGGTCACAATGACATGATCTTATGGGAAGGCACTTCAAAAAGTACACAGGAAGATCTATATTATTTTTAATTCTCTTTTTCCATGAACCTTCTGAAGGATCCTTGTATGTCAAAAATCCCAAGAAAACCATAAAATAGCCAGTAGAGCTAATAAAAGAGTTCAGCAAGGTTGCAGGATACCAGACAGATATATGAAAATCAATTATGCTCCTATGTACTAGCAATGAACAACCCAATGAGGAAATTCAGAAAACAATTCCCATTTATAATGGCATCAAAAAGAATAAAATACTTAGGAATAAATTTTTAAGAAGCAGTGTAAGACTCATACACTGAAAACTGTAAAACATCATTGAAAGAAATTAAAGAAGACAAATAAATGAAGAGACACTGTGTTCGTGGATTGGAAGAACTAATATTGTTAAGATGACAATTCCCCAGTTCATCTACAGATTCAATACAATTTCTATCAAAATTCCAGTTGCCTTTTTTGAAATGAAAAAGCAGATCCTTAATTTCATGTGGAAATGCAAGAATAGCCAAAACAATCTAGAAAAAGAACAAAGTTGGAGGACTCACACTTCCTGATTTCAAAACTTACCAGAAAGCTACAGTAATTGAGACTGAGTGCTACTGGCGTGAGGATAGATACACAGATTACGGAATAGAATTGAAAGTCCAGAAATAAACACATACATTATAGGCAATTGATTTTAGATAAGGGTGCCAAGACAGATAGGTGGGGGAAAGAACAGTCTTTTCGACAAATGGTTCTGGAACAACTGAATATTCACAAGCAGAGGAATGAAGTTGGACCCTTACTTCACATCGTTTACAAAAATTAACTCAAAATGGTCAACAAATTGTAAGAGCCAAACGTAAGAGCTAAAACTATAAAAACTCTTAGAAGAAAACATAGTAGATCTTCATGATCTTAGGTGAAGCAATGGTTTCTTACATGTGACACCATTTTATGCTTAAATGACCAAAGAAAAAAACAGATAAATTTGACTTCATCAAAATTAATTTTTTTGGGCACTTCAAAGGTGTCTGAGGACAGAGACAAGGTGAAACAGCCTCTGAACTGAGAAGGAACTTTGAGAGCAAAACATGAAGCAAGCAACTCCATACGGTTTAACAGAGTTTATTAATGGGTAACTTACATACAGGAAGGTCCAGGTGGGTACTAATCCAGATGTTCATGCAGCTGCATGTCACAACATTCAGAGGGAAGTAGGGGTTTGTAAAGGAACTTAGGGACAAAAGGAAGTATGACTCCTATGATATAGCTAAAGTCTGTGATATATTCAAAGTCTTTGTAACTTAACTTGTGCCAACAGGAAAGCTTTGAACTTTTTCTTAAGTGAGTCTAGCTTTTCAGTCTTAACTATGCTTGCCTTGCTTCAGATTAATGGATAATTTCTTTCTTTTCTTTTCTTTTTCTTTTTGATCAGTAAGGGGATTGCAACCCTCAGCACAGTGTTGTCTGCACCGCGCTCAGCCAGTGAGTGCAATGGCCATCCCTACATAGGATCCAAACCCACGGCCTCGGCTCTACCAGCACTGCACTCTCCCTAGTGAGCCATGGGGCTGGCCCAGATTAATGGATAATTTCTTAGTAAAAAGACTATGAGGGCCACAGAAAGGGAGAGTAAAGCTAAAGGGACCCAAAGACGAAGTTGGCATGGTCTGCATTCCCACCAAAGGGCACTCCAAAGAAAGGTAAAAGACAAGCCATAGAATGGGAGAAAATATTTGCAAATCATATATCTGATAAGGGACTTGCCATAATGTTATAATAAAACTCATAACACAATAATAAAAATAACCTGACTAAAAAATGGGTAAAGGATATAGACCTTTTTTCTAGAAAGATATGCAATTCACCTATATGCACATGAAAAGATGCTTGATATCATCACAATCAGGGAAATACAAATCAAAACTACAGTGAACTTAAATGAGGTCCTAGATCAGTCAAGTTCATAGAGACAGAAAGTAGAATGGGGATTGCCAGGGGATTGGGGGGAGAGAATGGGGATTCATTGTGCAATGGGGACAGAGTTTCAGTTTAGGATAATGAACAAGTTCTGGAGACAGACGGTGGTGATGGTTCACGACAATATGAATGGACTTCATGCCAATGGAATGTACACTTACAAATGATTAAAATGGTAAATTTTATGCTGTGTATATTTTGCCACACACACAAAAAAATCTTCACTTTGCCCCCACTAGAATGGCTAGAATTAAAAAGACAGAAAATAAAAGTGTTGGCAAGGATGTGGAGAAATTGGAACGCTCATACGTTGCTGATGTGATTGTAAATGTTGTAGCCACTTTGGAAAACAGCTTGGCCGTTCCTCAAAAGGTTAATCATAGAGTTACTATGTGATGGCAATTCCACTCTTAGGTATACACCAAGGAGAAGTGAAAACATACACGAATGTGTACAGCAGCACTGTTCATAATAACTGAAAACTGGAGCTGAAGGAGCTCTCCTGTCCAGGCCCAGAACGGCCTGGGGGGGCTGCCACGGTGGTTGGGGACAGCAGGGCTGGGAGCAGCATCTGGTGTGGGGGTGCCTGGCAGTGTCACCTGTTCTCAGGATGGATCTGCAGGACATGGAGGCATTCCTCGGGGCTCTCCTGATACTACCAGGAAAGCGGAATGGACATAAGAACAGGCTTCCTGCAGCTTGTAGGGTGTGTCCCCAGCAGCAGTCAACAATCATTCCACCAATACCCAGGAGCAAAATTAGCAACCCTGAACTTTCACTTCCAGTTCTGCACAATATATCACTCCCGAGCTCCCAGGCATGGGGAGCTCTCGGGCAGGACTCAGGAATCCCCACAAGTTCCAGCTCTGTCTGCCACTTGAACCAGTAACACAGACCCCTCTGGGGATGGTCAGCTTCTCTGGCCACATGTCTGAGACTGAGTAACCTCAAGCCGTGGGGGTTAGGGAATAGGAGGGCATTTCTGGTTCCAGATATAGATTGTTCCTATTGCAATGGAGAGCAG